CTTCCGGTCGCCGCTTCTGGTCGCCAACTCCGACCGCCGCTTCCGGTCGCCACCTACAACCGCTTCTAGTCGCTGACTCCGACCGTCGCTTCAGGTGGCCGTCGCCTCTGATCGCCGCTTCCGGTCGCTGCCTCCGATCGCTGCCTCTGACCGCTGCCTCCGGTGACTAGTTAGCAGATATGTTCACAAAATCGCTTAAAGGACCTCGGATTGATTACATTTGTAACAAGCTTGGTGCATATGATATATATGCTCCAGCTTGAGGGGGAGTGTTATAGATATTGTGAATATATTACAGATATTGTGGATACATATATTATGACTATTATCCTCACTATCAATTAGGGATATGATTAGATTAGTTTCCATAATATTAGAGATTAGTATCTCTATCATTTATTGTATTCACTCTATAAATAAGATTGGTATGTGTACAACAATACACAATTCCTGAATCACAACAATAATCAAAATCTCACATCACATCATAAGAACAAGAAGAATAACACGGGTTTATAAATACACAAATGTCTCCAATGGAAAAAGACCTTTTAGGTGATGACCAAAAGTAAATCCATGAGAACTTAAACTCAAAATGAACAATATCACAGCAATGTAAAGATGTGTGTGTGTGAAGCCCGCTGTCCAACACCTTGCAATTTGATCCTAACATCCCACCATGATCCATAACTCTAGCATGCATGCAAGCTAGCTGTGCACTAGCTATTTGACTAGTCCCGGACAAACACTTGCAATGTCGACATCACCATCTATTCCACTCGTTTACAGCTGAGACATTGGGGAAGACTCTAATGCAGATTGATAAGAACAAAAGAACTTGAAGAGAATCACACTACAAAAGTTGGCTATATTAGTTGGAGAGTCCAAGAACTTAAAAACCCCGCACCGGAATCTCATACTTCTTGTGCAGGATTCAAGTATCATGCCTTGCAATTGAATTTCTATCATGACCTTTCCAGCCTATTTAGATATTATACAAGGATCATAGAAATCCCTCTCACATAGGCATACACATAAAGAAACCATTATACTATATAATATTAGGATTAAGCACATATATAATGCTTGGTATCTGTCACTGACTCATGGATGATTTTGGTGCTAATTTGTTCTAATTTACGAAAAGATTACTCTTGTAATTACTACTGTACATAAATAAATATGCATGTACTGATAAATCACACATACTTTACCTCACTTATATTTGATGGAATTTATGCGAAAACAAACCTGGGCTCTTTTACATCCTCTTTAAGCTGCACATGTTGTCCCCTGTCTAATGGAATGACTTTTATTACTTCATTTGCCAAAACACTGTACTCTCCAGAACAAAATGAAACAATGAGATTATCTTTGTCTGAAACTCTTTGCACAAAGCCCACCCGCTTCTGCAGTTCACCTTCCCGTGCATTTTTTGGAGTTATGGAAGTTTTCCTAAACTTCACCCAGTCTCCCACTTCAAATCTAGAACAATCAAAATAAAAATAAAATGATAATACCTATTAGTAGAGAATGCGGGGGCTTAAGGTGGGAAAGAGAAAAGGCAGGCTCTAAATTGTATTCTTTTTTACAGTGAAGGTTTTTGATACAATTTCATTAGATTGATATGATGTTTTTAAAAATACATACGCTAGCACTTGTTTATACTATGTATTAGGTCAAGTACAAATTAGTTCTATTCTACTTGTGACAACCCAAGCACACTAAGACAATAAACTTCAAAGCTAAATTAAATGAGGAAAAAAAATTAGAAAACATAATGAAATCAGCAAACAACTCCTAAGATTTCTTCTTAACTTTGAGAAGTAATTGGTATCACAAAAAGTTCTGAATATTTTTGACAATATTCTAAAATGTTCTAAGATAAACAATGAAGATAATTCAAGAATACTAAATATATAAAAAAAAATATAAAAAAAAAAATGTTGTCTCCTCACATTGTAGGAGAGAGACGAACTCCTTTCTTCATAAGTGCTTCCATCAGATCTTCAGATATCCATTGTCGGGGAAGGATCTCCAAGATGTCACGTAGAGTCTTGCCACTGTAATAAAACATAACTCTATTATGATACTAGATGAATGTTGCCAAAGTTTCTAAAATAACTCTATTATTATATGTTGGGATTCATCCCAAGTCCCACATCGGTAAAATGAAGGAACATTGGCTAGTTTATAAGTGTCCACCATTCCACATAGTATGAGGCCTTTTGGGAAGGAGCCCAAAAACAAAACCGTGCGGGCTTGGGCCCAAAGCGGACAATATCATACTATGATGGTGGAACAGGTGGACTATCGGGCCCTACAAGTGGTATCAGAGCCAACGGTTCGTCTGGGTTTGATGCGGGAAGACCCTCAGTGTTGTGCCTCGCGATGGAGATTCGAACTTGGTGCCTTGTGTCGAAAGTCTTCCTGATATTGTGGTGTTCAGGCGGCGTGTCCCGTAGAGTTAACGGCGGTACAAGATGGTGACGGATTATCGCTTGAGGGGAGGAGATCACGAGACATGTGGTCCTTGGTCTGAGGGGCACGAGACAGGGATTCATCCCAAGTCCCACATCGGTAAAATGAAGGAACATTGGCTAGTTTATAAGTGTCCACCATTCCACATAGTATGAGGCCTTTTGGGAAGGAGCCCAAAAACAAAACCGTGCGGGCTTGGGCCCAAAGCGGACAATATCATACTATGATGGTGGAACAGGTGGACTATCGGGCCCTACATTATATTCAGTAGGGTCTTTCTTGGGAATGGAAAATGAATGTTGCCAACGTTTCTAAAATGATGCTAGATGGACACAAGTTTTTCAGATGTTTAAAAAAGGAAATAAAAATGTAATCAAAATCTCAGGAGAATGAGAGCATGAAGCTGCAACTTGCCTGTGGTTTCTGACTAAGACATCAGCATTAGGATTCCCAAGCATAACAATGAGCCACTTAAGATTTTCACGTATCATTTTTGCTGTTTCTGCTGCTATATGGAAAGCAGTGTTACCATCATCATCCTGAGACAAAATAAACAGCTTAAAACCTTAAATCACAACGTAATAGCAAAAGTTACTTTCAAAAGATAGGTGGGATGTCAAGTTTCAAATATTTCTGGCAAGTAACAAATTTCAGTTAAAAAATAATTTCCATCTTTATCTTTGTTCACATACACAAGCCAGCCTAAAATGTAAAAGAAAATAGATAAGATAAAGACAACAATAAAATCAAAACAAAGGCAAACTTACAGATTAGGTAAAACAGTAGATTTAAAGTTTATGTACTTTTCAATGTTGGTATGTCTTATATACACTAATTTGGTCATATCTCTAGTTGATATTGGACTTTAGTTTTTCCCAATAGTGCAGAAGTTTCATCAGTAACACTTTAACCCCTGAACTTAGACACTATTGAGGAGTTAAAATGAATGGTGAGGTTTCATTTGTGAGACTTCGTCCTCAAGAAGTTTGGTGCAATCTAAAAACTGTCAATGAAAAAGATTTTAGTTCCAGTCAAGTGCCACTCATGACTGCTACGATACTGTAACTGCCTAGTTGTTAATTTTAGGGTGCACCGTAAAATGTTATAAACTCACTCTTCAATTTTGAGATGCAATGTATTAACTTTTAGAAAAAGGATAAACCTCAAATTGTTAAACTGCAATTTATCTGACAGTTTAAAGGCCAGCAATGGCAGCAAACATTAAACTTCAACTATGTCAATAGATCTCAAACCAAATAGAAGATAATTCTATAAACTTGGACAAATAGTTTCAATATTTCATTCCACGTCTTCAACAGCTTATGCAACCGTCTGAATTCTCATATGAATGATGTCACTTAGATTTGTGGGTCTCCAACCATATAAGCTTAATTTACTCTCTGATGAAGAGGGCAGCGTGGAAACTGAACTCAGTAATCAATCAGCCATATGATAAAAATGAATTCAATTACAGACAATTGCAAAAAGTATTTTCTAAAATAGAAAAAAAAAAAAATCAGACAAAGCATCATATCATCATTTGGAAAACAATACAATAATAAGATGTGAAACTTTGTCCTTATATTTATTATTACACTTCATTTAATACTGCAGTTAAACGGAGTAAATTCAAAACATGAATGAAAACCTGCAAACTACAATCTGCCCCAATAGATAGAAGTAGTTCAACACATGACTTAGATCCCCTAGCTAAGGCTGTGTGAAGAGGTATGCCATTGTGCACATTGCGAATGTTAACATCAACACCAGCAGCAAGAATAACCTACTCAGAACACCAAAAAAAAAAAACTCAACATTAGATACAAAAGCCACATACTTCAGATACCAACACAATATTGAATATTTTTTATGGACATTTAATCATTCTAATTAAGAAGCTGGTTTACTCACCTTAACCAATTCAACATCATCAGCCATAACAGCTATATGCAAAGCTGTCCATCCATGCTGTGAATCTTGAGCATATGGATCTGCTCCTGCAGTGAGCAGTATTTGCACCAATTCTCTCCCCTCTATATTTGGCATGATCAAACAAAATCAGATAAATTAACTGTTGAAGAAAACAGAAGCAGTAACACAAATGGTTTTACAATATCCATGCATTAACCATTAAGTGTTCTTTGAACAGATGAATGTGTAGTGCAGGTTTAACAGAACAGAAGTGTCATTAAACTTAGGGTTATGATCAAAATGTAGTAACAGTTAAACTATCCAATACAGAGGTGATTTTCCTATACTTCCATTCTCATGCAAGTGAACAGCTTTACCATGTTATAATGACACAAGTTCTTATTTTTGGGCAGCACTTTAGCATTTAAAGTTAGAAATCAATATAACTTCAAAACTTTCAATTTATTTAAAAATTTGACTAAATTTAAAGTTTCCAAAACCAAAATTACAAGAAAAGAAAACTATATCAAACTTTGGAATAACCTAACTTATAAGAAGCTTTATTAGCATAAATTAGGAAAATGTACTAGAAGAAAAATCACACCAAACTTTGGAAAAAATAAAAATAAAAAGCAGCATAAGATTTGAATAGAAAACTATAATAGTTTAATCAACAGACAAAGACAAATGTTAAAATCATCATCAGCCAATTATCCCAGATCTACATACCACTTTCATGGTCTTTCTTAGAGGCAGCAGCCATGCACAAAGCCGTGCCCATATGGCTCGCTATGTCAATTGATTCAGCAATCTCATCAGAAGTTGCAACTTCCACCCATCTTTTTACAACGGGAACATTCCATGTTGCCACACACAAGTGAAGCGGTCTGAAACATAAAGAGTGCAACTACATTATCACATATGCATGTGAGGCAAATAGATATCTAAATTCAAAACCCATAATAACCAGAAAGCATATTACAATCCCACAGAATTTCTATTGTAAAATTCCAAAAAACATGACAAGAAATAAAACACCCAAAACCTTAAAAACTAATCCCAATAATTATGATAAAAAAATTTCCTTTAAAAATAGCAAAAATACCAACTCTAGTGGAATTTAACTTGCTATAATATGATTAACTTGCAGCATTTGCTCTCAGTTTCCTAGTAGCAGTAGAGGGAATCGATTCTTTACCAAAAATATGAAAACAATTTATTATCTTTACCACTGAAATAAGGACAATGAAGAGGTGACCATAGTTGATTCGGACAGGAATACCGGTTTTTCACTTTTCCATCAGCAATATCAGTGTGTAGAAATCTGTTAGGCCTCTTATAAGTAAACTAGTGGGTCGAGGTTCGTGCCTCTATTAAAGATAAAATAAAAATAAAATTAAGTAATAAATGTATGTTGATCTAATTATGATTAGTCCATTAATTATTTTTTCTAATTTTCTAAAATGAAAGGGTATAATGGTCAAAAAAATGTGGAGACCAAGGTAATTACTAAAAGAAGTATTCCCTTTATATATTAGTATAGATTTATATATTAGTATAGATTAGTATAGATATATTAGTATAGATATTATAAGAGGAGAGCCAAGACTTAGGTTTTATAATAGGACTGAATTGTTTTAGCAGTTATTAATTATTTTAGCAGTTATTGTTATTTTAATTAGGCACTGGGTGCTGTTAGTGGGGGCAAGTGTAACTGCCTCTAGGCAGTTATTAGCATAATAAAAATAGCAGAAGAAGCAGGACAAAAGGTAGGCAGTTTTTGAGTGGTTTCGTGAAGGGAGAGACCAAGCTCTCGAACATCTTGTGAGGAAACCTTTGCACTCAAATCAGTTTACTAAATCTCCTATGTAATTTGTAATTCCGTATCAGTTAAATTGAATAAAATTCAGTCCTTATTCTCATACCAGTTGGTGTCTATCAAAATCTTGTGCTGTAGGATATCCAAAGTAACAGAATAAATTGCCATCTTTTACATATAAGAAACCATGCCTTGGGACAAGATATGTACCAGGCCCAACTTACCAGGAAAAACAGAACAACTGATACATGTAAAAAACCCAAGCATCACAAAGAGGCATTTGTAAAAGTATCCTCAATCTCATGAATATCTATAATCTATCAATATTGTCTTTTCTTTTATCATGAGAGGAAGAACAAATGGAATATAACACCAACAACTTGATAATTACTTTATCTAGAACAAAAATAGTACGAGTGATCAGAAATAAGAATTATGTAGATCTATTCTCATAGGTTGTCAAACGAAATCATATAATCACACTATTCTAAGTATTCATGTATTATGAAATTTAATAAGGAAAAAAAAAACTGTATTTGCAAATATGGTTACACTGAAACTTAACTATACTAAAATTTTTGTTATTAAATAAGAACATTACAATATGATACATCTTTCATTTTCCCCTTTTTGCTCACAAAAGCAAACACTAAATAGTCTCAATAGAATAGGCATCCAGAACCTAATGACAGGAGATGAGGAGACTATTGTTTATACCTAGATAATGCACAGAAGATGCAAAAAATCATGAAGGAGGAGTGTGCCTGCATTAGGGGGAAACCAACCACATGTTTGTTCAGCATTCAGACAACATACAAAAAACTATATATTGAAAAGGTGAGATCCACGACACTCTGAGTTTGAAGATAAGAGAACTATGGGAAAACGGCAAACTATATTTGGCATTAATAATTCATAAGGAACGCACCATAATGAAGAGATAATAAGAATAAACATCACTTATGTAAGATATTGAGCATTAAAAACAATTATTCATTATAAATACAGTAACTTAGAAGTATTGTCATTCTGTTCTAATTCCAATCTTAAAATTGTATTCAATTGTACAAGTAGCTAAGAAATTACAGAAGTAGTTCACGGGAACTCTTATAGGTGCATGTTTCAACATGAGTATGCTGCTCCATGCTGGAGAAAAAGTCATGCAGTGGACTGAGACAGCCAAAGTGCACGTTTCACATTGATGACAGGAAATGCAAAATTGAGTAACATTAGTTTCTTTCTGTACGTCTAAAGTCCTGGACTGATTGACTTGCTTGGCAAACACATTTTTAGCATAAAAATAAAATTGAAGGAAAGTTTATACTTACGTCATATTCTTTGAATTCAAGATGGCCATTGATCTACTGCCCCCATTTTCCAGTATCACAAGGGCGCAATCAGTGGACTTCTTGGCAACTGCTCTATGCAGTACAGATTCACCTTCATCATCCACTGCATTAGGATCAGCTCCAGCTAATAGTAATTCCTGTTATGTTACCATAAATTTATATGAATATAAATCTAGTAAATACACGAATATGAATATGATTCAACTAAAACATACTTGCATGCAATCTGGATGACCATGATGAGCACAAACATGAGCAACAGATGGGCCAAAGCCATCTCTTAATTGTGACCTCACGTTAGCACCTCTTTTAATAAGATTATGAACACATTCTGGGGATCCAGCAGCTAATGCATAAATGAGAGGAGGATCTCCATCTTTGTCCAAGACATTAACATTTGCCTCCTCATACTCCAAAATTGCCTCAACAAGTTCTGCCATGCCACGTCTACAAGCCAAGTGGAGAGCAGTTTGCCCATCAGCATTTTGAACTTCCAATAGAGAAGATATGTAGTTGCTGCCATAATCTGATGCAGCCTTGACTAGAAGATCTCTGTATAAAAGTATAAAGAAAAAGCATTATTGCAAAATTCAGATGAAATCTAGCTCAAGGAAGATTGTTTGTGACTTTGTAGCACCAACCAACCTAACACTTCTGACATCCCCCTCAGACACAAGTTGATGAAGATGGAACGGGTTTTGCTGAGAAACTACTAATTCAGGCACAGGGGACAACTCCATCACATTTGACGAAAAGCTTTTAACAAAGCCACTGTATTTACAGAAATATATAACATTATATAAGACATTGCAAATTTGGCTCATTTACACATCACATATCAAAACTATAAATACCCTACACGTTGACTGCTCAATCAGATTCCATAAAACCAGAATAGAATATACAAGTCATGGAAATAATAACTTATGGGACTTACTTATCAGGGCTTGCAGGAAGGCTGCGTGGTATTCCCTGCAAATGACGGAGAAATATTGCTAACATTGCATCAAAACTAGGCCTTTTAGATGGCTTGAAATGTAAGCAATCTCCAATCATCCTCCACAAATCACTAGGTATTCCACCACCAACCACACTAGCATACTGTGGAGGCGGTTTCTTTGTCTTGACAACTGCTTGATAAATTTCCTCTGTACTTAAACCAGCCCAACTACACGAGCATAAAATTTATGATATGAAATTCTAGAAAACAAAATGTGAGAAATGTAAGGAATAAAAATTGAATAACAAGTTGATTCACATACGGAACAGAACCCGTGCACATCTCCACCAGTGTGCAACCAAAACTCCAGGCATCAGACTCTGCTGATATGCCTATTGCATCATCCCAGAACAAATTTAATGACTTCTTCGCAGGTTGCTCCCAAGCCTCTGGAGCTGTGTAATGTGGACTGAGCACTGTACATTCTATACAGGAGTGGTTCTTTGAAGAGGCACACTCAGGTTGGACCTTCCAACAAGAATGCTTCTTCAGAATAGCAGCAAGCCCATAATCAGAAACCACTGCATGACCATTCGAATCAAGAAGAAGATTGGATGGTTTTATATTCATGCAAATAATGCCTGCAGCATGAAGTTCGGCAATCCCTCGTGTAATGTCTGCCCCATATCTACATTTAGCAAAATTTGATGACACTATTCATAATTATTGCAAAGTGCAGACAATTGGTTTACAATAAGGAAGAACTCAAATTTCATGGAAATGACTTTTAAGTTGCCCATATTGCACTAAATAAGAATTAAGAAAAGCAAATCATCAAGTCATTCTCTGATGAGATGTTTTCAAAATTTTAACACAATTTCATCCAAATAATTGAAACATTACTTTATTTATAATTTATTAGCATGAAAACAGAAAAGCATAGGGAGAAAATCCAGTTAGCCGATAAAGTTTAGATACTAACCACAGTCTAGATGATCATTCAGGTAGTTTCGCTCCAGACACACATTAATTAGCATTGACAGCAATATGCACATAATCATTGCATTTTCTTTAAATTCTCAACAGAACATGGTTCATCCTATTTATAACATGTGACATTGGCAATAATACCCATCAAACCAATCTAGATAAATTAAAGTATTAAACTAACAAAACATTAGTATCACTATGCTTCTCTTTTTATACTATTATATGTACCAACTTCCAGCAATAATTTTCTTGCCACAACGTTTCTACAGAAACCACATATAAAAAGAAAAAAAAAATTGCTACAACCAGAAATAACAGTTTTTTATATTATATTTAGCTTAGAATTTTACGCACACATTAAATATTAAGAATCTATAAATAACATTTTTTTTTACTTTTAGTATTATAAAATTATGATGTTATATTTATTTAATATTATTTCATTAATACTGATTTAATCATGATTCAACTACAATTTAACTCTTAAACTTTGAATCAATGTCTAAATTGATTCAACTATCGGCTATTAAAAATATTTGGTAGTACAATCTCATGGTACCTGAGTACGAAATGACTTATGTATCGTCTGGATTTCATAATATCTATTTATTCATTATTTTTAATCATATTCATGGCCTATAATTTTATTTTATTTTATTTTATTTTTTTGGTAAAAACGGCCTATAATATGTTAACACATGAAAGGGTCTAACGTCCATCTTATACGTGACAAGATACTTATAAAGTATAGTTTATGATACCTACTTACATTTTTACAAACTCTGTCTTATTATAACTATTTATTTACAATTTCGAATCATATTCATGGCTTGTCATACAAAGTTTAATATAACTTTTTACCACACAATACATCTATATTTTAAACATTATATTTATTTATAACTAATAATCATAGTTGTAACGTAATAAAACAACAATTAAAATACAAAAAGTAACTTGCAGCAAACTGCAACAGCTTGTCTCCTTAAAATAAGAAAGATGATGCAAGTCAATTCTTTACGTTAAGTGGTGGAGTTTCCTAAAGGAAGCATGATTCACTTACTCCTCAAATTTAATAAGTTTAATTTTGATAAAAAGAGAAATATTACAGACACACTCCTAATTTTCTATACCAAAAAAAAAAAATTCCTACCATTTTTTTTACTTTTATGTTAAATTTCAAAATATTTATTTAAAAAAGTATCAATTTTTTAAAATAATATTATATCATAATATAAATTATTTATCATAAATATAAAATATATTTTATATCATAAAAATATTTATTTATTACAAATTTTAATTTTAATACAATTTATATATTTCAAAATAGTTTACCAAACTAGATCTTCTGAGAAAAATTAGAGAGGATGGAGATAATCTAGGAAAGGATCCATATGCATATCCATAGTTTTATTTTATGGCATGTTTGGAGACCATTTTAAATACAACATGAAATGAAAAATTAAGTGATAGTGGAATACAAGCCTCCAAGACGTGTTTCCAAACACACATTATGGACCAATTAAATATCTATATTGTTATGACTTTTTATTTATTATTATAAAAGTCAATAATTAGATGATATTGAAGAGAGAGAAAAAAAACAAAAAAGAAACTTAGAAGATGAACATTAACACATTTGAATATAGGTTCAGACGCGTTTTTAGTTATTTTTACTAGAAAAATTCTGTAAAAAAAACATAAATTATATTCTAATTAACGTGTGGTTTAACGGTAGGGGTTGATCTACGCTTAAACAAAGTCCTGTCTTATTTTTTAGGTCCCTCAAGGAGATTAATGACTGTTATCGATCCTGAAAACTTCAGGACGAACCAAAAAATTATATTCTAATTATAAAAAAAGAAGAAGAAGATGAAGAAAAGAACCTTAGGACTTGCTCGAGAGTGAGTCTACCATGGTTGCGTTGCATCTCAGAGTGAATGGAACCGTAACACCTATCCATGAGAAGCCACAATCCATCATGACCAACTCTGACAGCCCCGTGAAAGGCGCACACATTCCTACACCACATGGAAGCCCTCCGCAACCACTCAAGCCTCTCCATCACCCACTCCACCTCCTCCACCGCCTCCACCTTCTTCACCGCCACCTTCTTCCCGCCCCTCACCG